GCTGACCTCCATCTGCGGCTACTGCAACCATTTGATGACCGCTACGCGGTGCCGGCCCAGACGGTGCTCGTACCTGTTTCCACTCGTTCTTCGCAATATTATAGAAAAACAAATCGTTGTAGACACAAACGCGTTGTCCGTTATAGAACTCGCCACCGAAAAGTATAAGCTCCTCCTTTTCTGGATGTGCAACGAAAGTAAAATTTGAGCGTGGCGCTGGTGGAGAGCATACTTCCTCCGTGACCGTTTTACGTCGGGCTTCTTCAGCTTCTAAATTGGATACCACCTCAGCTATGTCAGCCTACCACAAAGGAACATTTTAACAACGTTTCAATCAATTGTTTACTGTTTACAATTGTTACCTCGCCCAATTTCTCCAGCATTCGTTTCTGTTTGGCAGCCAATTTTTTGTCTGTTTTCATTGCAGTCTTTTCAGCACCTTTACCTTTCTTCTTATTTTTATCCTTTTTACCCATTTTGTTAAATTTTTATTAAAAAATGCTATTAAAAATTGGTTTCCATTCGGCAAGCGTATTCCAAATAAACCACCAAATGCACGTGTACCAGTGCCAGGGTTGCATGTGCGTGGAGCTTTAATTTTCATCTTTTTTTAAGTTTTGACAGCAGCTGAACAAATAATGAAAACACTTAACTATACATAACTTCCAAAATATAAAAATGTTTCATCAAAATTGGCAATTTTCAAACTTTTAATAAGCGATGCACTTCTATTATTGAGCTTCTGTTAATATTATAAGTTTACCTAACAAAAACAAATGTACGACACCTACATATCTATTCTACACATAACCGATGATTTTGTAGCCGGAAAATGTTATTACCATTTCTTTTAACAGCAATTTTAGGTACTTTGTTAATGTATTCAGCAATTCAGCTATGAAGTTTTGTAGAAAATCTGGCATTGCTTGATTTTGGTCGTTTACTTATTTCAGTACGACAATAGACAATGCTACTGTTGTCGAGTCGTATAATTTAGCCTAATTTGCGACTTACGCAATGAGGCTGATTGATGACGAACACGGCGAACGTAGAAAGGATTACGATTTGAGGGCATACGCCTGGAATATCTGGACCCTTAATGGGAAGCTGCCTTTGCCTGGCTGGATGATGTCCTCGGAAGCTGACATCACCGCCATATAAGAAATGTAATAGACTCCGTCGCCGAGTAGTGTTGTTGTTGTTGTAGCGGCTACAAAAACCCCGTCCAGATCGGCTAGTTCCTCAATAGTTGTCACCAAGCTCAACTAACGGTAGAACCAAGAAGAGTGCAGCTTCCATGGGTCCCTCCAAAGGAAAATACGCGGGTTAGTGGGCGTGCGAAGAGATGTCTCGAGTCGTGGGGTGTCTCTCGGCATGCCGGGCACTCTTGTGTACATCCGCATCGAGTCTGGTCAGGTACGAATTTAACCTGCTGCAGAAGCCCAGCGTGAAGTTGGGTTATTGTGGTCCGAGTCTCCCGAGGTAGACGAAGCTTTGTCTCGTTCACGCCAGGTGGTTGTGTGCCCAGAACGGCATTAACAAGTCGGGAATTTACGTAACTTCTGGTCGCTATCCGGAGTGCTGTGTTTTAAGTTGTCTGTAGCTTCGTCCACTGCATCCTACTGGTCCCCGGTAACCACACTGGCGCTGCGTAGTTTACAACCGGCCGGCCCATTGCCTAGTATGTTGCTAGCAATGTTTCTTTTGTCTCTTTGCCCCAAATGCTGCCGGCTAGCGACTAGAGGACCTTGTTGCGGGTCTGTACTTTATTGACTATTGCGGTGGTGTGCGCCAAGGAGAGCAGACTGTCGAACGTAATTTCCAGGATTTTCAGATTATTCACAGTCGGAATTAGTTCTGCAACTGCAGCCTGACCTCATTCGTCCAGGTGGTGAAAAGGGTTGCCGAGGATTTTGTAAGCGAGAGGGGGTTAGGCTCCTTGCAGTGAAGAAGCGAGAAAGCTCCCGGAGGCAACCGTTTACTTGCGTCATCAATTCCATTCCCAGATGCTATTATCGAGCAGTCATCAGCATAAGAGACAATCGAGACTCCCTCTAGTGGTTGAGGCAGCTTAGAAATATAAAAGTTAAACAGTAGTGGACAAAGGACACCACAATGTGGGCTTGCTCGATTTGTCTCTAAAAATTACTGAAGTGTGTCGACCATTCAGATAATTCGTCGACCACCGTTTAAGTCCCTGTGGGAGAGGAGACCTCTGTCTTCTAGTAGCGTGGAGTGACTGACGGTGTGAAACGCCTTTGGCAGATCCCACGCTCCCAGAACTGTTGTCTCACAGGGGCGGTTACGGTTTAGGGCACATGTTATCTGGGTTTTTACAGCGTTAAGTGCTGTTGTTTGCCGGTTTCCCCAGTTTGAGAAGTGGGACCACTATCCACATTTTCCAGATGTCTGGAATAACATTGATAGGTTGAGGACCTAGGTGAGGTAATCTTCTCCCACAGGACCCAAAATGTTCAACATCAGCATGCATATTCCGCTTTCGCCTTCCCGATGGCTATCTATCACCGCTGGTGAAAGCAAGACGGGCACTTGGTGTTGGGAGTTTGTGCAGCTTCCTGGTCGCTCCACGTTTGGCTTTGTCCGCCGGAGGATGCAGCGTGAATTGTCGCCTAAAATAGCTCGCGCATCACTCCGGATCTGACGAGGCGCGATCGCCAAAAGAGCTTTCGACTCTGTCGTCGCGCTTCGTCGGATTGGACAGTGACCCCACGGTTGACCGAAGCTTAGTCACACCAGAGGTGAAGTTGCAACTCTTCAGATGCTCTTCCCACTTCTTCCGCGTATGTACGTTTACAAGCTGCCGAATTTCCGTATTGAGAATCCCAATGCAAAGATTTCCGGGATCGGCCTGACGAAGGTTGTCAAGAAAAACGTTCGCTTCCAGTGCTTTGGATGTAAGTTCAATCCGAGTGCCAAACATCAACCTGGACCAATATTTTTTCGCATCTGAGATACGCATACGTCTCTGTTCAGCAAAAAATGCCCGTCCAGCAAGACAAGGAAAGCTGCACAACAACATACCGCCAGTTTATTCGCCACACGGTTCTCACACCTGCTCTCAGAGAGCACCTTTCAACAAACCGACGTATACGGACAGTGGAACCACATTTCCCACTCGAAAGAACATCTGGTTCGATGGAGAATGGCACGCCGTTGCAGACCGATATATTATGCTGACCGACGAAAAAACGACAGCAAATTTTGCGAGAAAGTTGGGCAACTTACGGAAGGTTTCAATACCAGTGAGAACTCCTGTAAGAACAACTATGGCGACATAGTGACTAATGTTCAGAACGTACTTAAATTATGGAGCGAACAGTTTTCCACCCAAGGTCGACGATGACGGAAGCGATCTATGACGGTAGGGTCTACATACCCGGAACGACCCAGATTCATATCTGGCCAAAGACTGTCCGCCAACTATTGCGGGATAAACCCTTTAAGCAACGTGCACAAGGTCTTACTGAGCCTGTTGCTTGAAAGACTAAAGCCCACCGTCAACGAACTGGTTTGCCCTTATAAGTGTGACTTTAGATCTGGCAAATTGGCATTGTCATCGGGTTCTGAGCTGAGTTTCAAGCATCGTAAAACACTAACAGCTATTAATTGGGGCCTTTACTCATTAACGATGGCAGACGAATTAACGATGAGCTATGCACAGTGGTGGAATAAATAATAGAAACATTTTATTTTGAACATTTTTGGGCTATATTTCTTTTGTTTATTCGATGTCTCATATTTTTTTTATAAAAGTCTAGCACATTATATAAAAGCACCATTTAAATCCACATTTCCAGCTTTGTACAAAAATCATAAAAAAATCACCAAATTTTACCAGAATCCCCCGAAAATTTCGGACTTTTTATTAGAAAAGCTTTAGGTATGCAGTTTTACAGTCCATTAAATTTTAGTAGGTGAAAGTGCAAATTTCAAGACGCTAGAAAATCGCGTTGATTTTTAATCAATTTTTTTGGCTGACGGTATTGCGCATTTTCTTCCATATAAAATATGCTCGACAATGCACAAAATTTCTTTTTACTTAACTAAGCATTGAATAGTCTGTAAGAACGAAATAAAAAATAAATAAATTTCATACATACACTGCCGGAACTAAGTATTGGCACAGCAAATTTTTCACAATATATGCGAAGTTTTTTATTCTAATTTAGTTTCAATAATTTTCTATAAAAATAAATAAAAGCAAAATTTCTAAACTTTGTGCAAAACTCAGAAAAATTTTATAAATTTGCATACTAATTTGCAACTTTTTATTATTATTTTATTCTAGTTTAGAAAAATTCTAAGTATGCAGTTTTATAGCCCAGTGAAGCTATGAAGAACAAGGCGCTTAGGAATAACAGTGGAGGAAAAATCGCCAAAGCCAAAATTACTTGGTATCGAAAGAAAAGTATCGAGTATGTAGTGGCATTTACTCTTATCGTTTCATCCCTAGTTGCTCATTTTCTCCATACAAAAAAAAAAAAATTGTCGAACATACTTTGTATGGAAGAAGCTGCGTGAAAAAAAAAATTGCCAAAAATCAACGCGATTTGGCTACAAAACTGAATACTTAGAAACTTTCTCTCTGAATAGAAAGTCACAAATTAGTATGCGAATTTATTGAATTTTGTTGAGTTTTGCACAAAGTTTAAATATGCAATAGCAAATATACTGCGAGAAATTCACTGTGCCAATACTTTTCTTCGTCACTGTAAATATGTAAAAAAAAAAACGTATTTATGTATGTATGTACATATGTATGTATGTATATTTAAAGAATTTAATTTTATTTTTGCACCTTCGTATTTTTTTAGATGGCTTTACATTTAAGTAGCACAGTCAGTATATGTATATTTATGAATGGATGTAATTAGGTAATGTATAAAATTTACATAAAAAACCGTATTAATAAAAGTTCAGTTTCTTTTTTTTCAATTGAGCCTTTAAACCTATGTTTGTATGTGTATAAGTATGTCTGAATTTTTAAAAATATCAACTACATATGTATGTATGTATTTAAGCATATATATATATACATATGTATATGTACAACTTAACACTGAGGAGCTTGCAAATTTCCACTGCTCACCGAAGTTCGACCACTCATTGCCCAATTCGCATCAAAACCACAGGCGGAATCCGAGTCAGAGTCCATTAACATATCGGATGGCGCTCGACCTATAGGCGCTCGTTTTTGATTTGGCGTCGTAGGCATACTACTGTAGCCATAAATCACATTCGTACTGGAATTCGATGATGAAATGGAATCGCGTGGAGAATCTGTTACCAGGGACGATGTAACCGATGAGCGCATTGTTGGTGTTGCTATCGGTTTTTGCCTCTTCTTCACAAACGAATCAATATTTTTCGGTGGTGGCATAATCGCTTTGTCGTCTCGTCGTTCGTCTTCGTTATTTTGTATATTGTCGGCAGAGCCCCATGATTTGTGCAACTTTTCAAATTTACTCGTTAAACTATTCATATTGACAGGAACACTGGCACGCGAGGAAACACTTTGTTTTTTGTTGTTACTTTTACTACTACTTTTGCTGCTTATAGTTGTTTCAGTTCCTAATTGTTTCGTCTTCATCATCATCATCATCGGATTCCGTGCAGTCATACCACCGGGAGGATGATGCTGATGATGATGATCTTGCTGATGGTGTCGGTGAGATCGCTGGTGAAGGCGACTTGCTGCTCCCGCCTGCGAGAGTGTATGACCATTGCCCACTCCCAAGAAGTTGCTGAACGCTTCGGTTGTCTTCTTCACTCGGACATTCAAAGAACCAATCCGAAGGAACCCGGAATCTTTTTCGGCTGTTATACAAAATGAGAATAGAGAAGGAAAGCAGGGATAAATAAAAAAAAAATAAGCAAACAAAAAAACTTGCAAACTTTTGTGCAAGTGAAAATTATTGTTGTTTTTCTACAAAAATTTTCACTAAAAAACGGCCCCAAGCTCAATAAAACTTTTCGATGCCAAAAATTAAAGATAAAATTTGCCAGATATTTTCTAAGCACTGATTTTTATGTTTTTTTTTGAGACTTTTCAAAATATTTCCTGGTTTTTTCCGGGATCGTTAAACTTTTTTCCAAGAGATTTAAGCATTCTTCATGTTTGCTTTTTGTCGGCAACTTTTGGGAGTTTTACGAGACATTTCAAAATTCATTTGAGGTTTCAAGATCATTCGCAAATTTTAGGCATTTTCCGACATTTCAAGATTTTTGGAAACATTCCGATCAAAAAGTATTTCCAAACTCCTAACTTCGCTTTTTATGAATGCCTAGAAAATTAAACTTTGGGTTTACCTTTGTACTTGCAAATTAAAAAGAAAAAATAATCGGTATTTTTACACAAAATAATAAGTGAAAAGTTGATTTAATTTTCGTGAAAATTCGGTATAAGTTTCCTATTTTTACTCGCTTATGATTTTGAAACATTTGAATTAAAATATTCATATTTTAGAGAATAAATTAAATGCTTACCTGCAGATTTTTTCTTTGCCTTGATTTCTGAAAGTATTGCAAGAAAAAATAAATTTAACAATTAATTGCATGAAAACCATTCACGATAGTACATAAATAAGAGTAATCAATCCAAAATGTATGTATATTTTTTACCAGTATTTACATGCGAACGGGTGTGTGTGTATCAAAGTGGTACGTACATACTTAGTTATAACGAAGTGCTCCAGTGTGAATGAGTTATGGTGACCAAAATTTTTAAGCGAAAAATCAAATGAAATTAAAAGCGGAAATATTTAAAAAAAAAAACAAGTACTTACCGTTAGAGAAGAAGTAAAATAGATTTTGGCCCAAGTGCTTGAGGAGTACCGGTACGGTTAACAGAAAGTCTACAACAATATCTACAGCAGAAATTAAAGCAACTAGAACTGAATAAAATTAAATAGTACATACATACATATAATACAAGAAACCTTAATTAAATTCAACAAAAATATATTTTTACAAATTTTTAGTTTTATATTAATTTTTGCAAAACATAATTTATTAGGAAAAAAATGGCACAAATGTTGTAACACGTAGAAACACCAAAAAAAAATAATTTTAAACAAAACCAAACAAAAAACGCATTACAAAATTTAAATAAAACTTTCAATTGAATTTATTAAAAAAGAGTTAACGTAAAAACACGGTTAGTTGACACCTGCATCAATTGCTTGCTCAAACAAATCTTGAACTCGTTTACGCCGACCGTGCTTGGGTGCATTGTGTTCAACTTGCCTCCAGGAATTAAAGGTGCCACCAGCGAGTCCACCCTCGATCACTTGTTGACGCATCGCTTGAATTTCTACAGTGCAATGGTGGAGTTCAGCGACGAAAGAGAGAGCGGGCGTGTGTGTGTGCGTAGAAACAGATAACAATGATAATTTAGGTATATTTTTTTAAGCAAAAAAAAAAAAAAAAAAATATTATTTTTAGAAATGACTGAATTTTTGTGAACGAATGTGTTTTATCAGGCTGGTGTATAGCTCAGATCACCATTTATTAGATCACAAATGAGTGCATACATAGTATGAATGTATGTATGTACATATGTATGTATTCCAAGTTTGTATGCGATGTCTGGGTTCATCTAGCAAGCGATTACTTCGCTTTTATGTATGTAGGTACTTGGATATGTGGCAACAATGTATGCATTTAGTAAATTGAAATTTTATGTGAAAATTAGATTATTACTTGCGGCATTATACAGACACCATGCGATTTGTGCGTATATTTTGTCGATCTCAGCGTTGTCCACTTTAAATGCGCGCATGAAGAATGAAAAATAAACTTAGATTTAAAATTTTATTGCAAATGTATACATACATATATATTTAGGGCAAATTGAATGATAATAAATACTGCACCTGATTTGTATGATACAAAAACTTTATAAGAAATTAGTAAACAATAAAATCGAATATGAAACGATTAAAATTGCGCATATTTGTTGCTTTTATTTTTATTTTAAAATACACTGCCGGAACAATGTATTGGCACAGCAAATTTTTCACAATATATGCAACAATTTTAATTCTAATATTTTTCCGCTAATTTTGTATAAAATTATGGTTCATTCTACAACATAAAACATAAAAATATACCTTAACCTTGTGCAAAACTTCCGAAAATTCAGCAAATTTTCATGCAAATTTTAAAATTTTTTGTGTATGCAGATTTGTAGCCCAATCAGTGTTATTAAATAAAGTACAAGTTTTAAGTAGCGAGGACTTACCGTGTTTTTAATAGAATTTAATGCATACTCAAAAAAATTGTAAAAAATCTGATTAAAAAGTTGAAAATTTGCTGAATTTTCGCGAGTTTTGCACAAAAGTTTAGGAATTATATTTTTATGTTTTTCGTTGTAGAATGAACCATATTTTTATGCAAAAGTGGTGGAAAAATATTAGAATAATAATTGTTGCATACATTGTGAAAAATTTGCTGTGCCAATACTTTGTTACGGCAGTGTATACGAATGCTTAATGTGGATGCTCTACATGCTGACGGTGGTCTAAAAACGCAAACTTAAATAATTTTAAGGAAATGGTTGTATTAAACAATAAATATACATATGTACACTCCAAAATCAATGATCGATAATTGAATACAATATGAGAAATTAAGAAAAAAAATTGCGAAAATTGTTTTTGCATCAAACCAATTCAACATTAAATGGAAAATGGAAGTTTCTCTATTCTCGTGAAAAACAAAATCTCCGTACTACTATATTTTTTTTATATATTTTTTGAATAATAAAAATGTCGCTATGCTACGCAACCTCGAAAACAGACCGAACACCTCATTTTCCCTTTGTTAAGGTTAGGATATTAAAAACAAAAAAACCTGAGCTGATAGCGTAATTCTGAGTTCAGACACGTAAAATCTAACAGAAATTCCTTGGATTTTCATTTTTATTGAAGTCGGCAATGAATTAAGCGACGTGGCAATTATTTTTAGGAGAATTAAAAATTTGACTTGGTTTCACTACAGAAATTTTTGAACGTGCTTTGGTCACAACTGCTTTTTCTACAACATGAGGGACGGAATTCAATGCATTACTATGTTCATCGTCTCTAGATTTATACCTCTTGGATGAGGCATCCCCTGTATGGATATGAAAATCGTGAATTAAAGTATGTTTACATATAAATTTAATCTCAATCAAAGCTCGTTTTTTAATCCCCCCGTTTACACAGACAAATCTCAGATTATTAGCTGCCAAATTTGTTTTGCTTGTTATTCTCACTTCTTTCTGCTTTATTAAGCAATTTGAATATATTTTAACTAATATTTTATTAAAAATAAATTTACAAACGTCGTTATCTTGTTTGCGTTCATTTTTGTTTACTTTACCATTAGGCATTTCTTCTCTTCTTCGCAAAAATGATCGATAAAACTAGTTATCGGTTTAATCTGAGATTATTTTACAATTAGAGATTAACGAGGGACGTATTTTGTATGGCTAATATCTTTTTTTAATTACAGATTAGGGAGTTAAACTCGAAATCGAGGATAATCTACTTATATGTACACCTAGTATTAGTAGCTCTTTAGAGATATTGGATTTGCCTTCTAATTATTTTTTTTCTGAAAGTTAAAATTACTTAGAAAGTTTGACGTCGTAATAGCAGGGAGGAACCAATGGCCTGTGTAATCAGAATGTTCAGAATCTTTGCTGATAGATCTAAATCAGAGCTTTTGACTCTGGCGCACAGTACTTGCATAGTTTGCTTTTGATGAAGCTATTTGATAAACAACTCGATAAATTTAATTATCTTTTTTCATTCGCTTGAAAGTATTACATAGCGAATATGAAACAAACTAATGCACTTTCATCTGCAGAAAGTGTGAAATTCGAAGAATTCCTGGATCCAGAACTTTATGGGCGAGAGCTTTCGCGAAAAAATAAAACGGTGTGTAGAAAACTATAATCAGCCATAGCCGAGGTCCAGCAGCGTATTATGAAAACATGAAATGTAACCCAAAACAAAATGGCTGCACAGATATGACGATAGGTCCACTGTGAGGACAGCATCTAAGGAAATCGAATAACAAATTACTTAGCGTCGCCACAAGGAAGAATATGAATATTTCAAACTGCTTGTTCTCAAAAAATCTTCAAAAAGACCACAAATAAATCTGCAAGCAATTGACGACTCTTTATATATCGGATGTCTTATGGTCTGATTATGGCAACTTAACGTAACTTACAGGCTCTCACTTAAAAATTCTCTTAAATGGATGTTGCTTGTAAACGAATAGCCGAAACTTAACGCAACTTAATGCCACGTCTTAATCTGTTTTATTTTGATTTTCTAAGCTCTAAGTACCGTTAAGTTAAGTTAAGTTGTCATAATCAGGCTTTTAGTCTCTATTCACTTCACTTCACTATCACCCCCTTCTGACTTTTTGTAACGATGCCAATCCTCTGAATGCCATAAAGTAATATAAATAATATAAAAATAAAACCGCAAAATAGTGAAGGTTATTAAAAAGCAATTAGGTAAATAAAATACTACGCAGTTATATAGTGTATTTGTTATTATTATACAAATGTATCATTTAGCAAGAGTTTTTTTTTAATAAAGTGTAATATGTTAAAATAAAGAAATAATTTTTAGACATGCAATCAAATAAAAAAGTGTATGTTTGCAAATATATAAATACATAATTAAAATTTGCAGTAAATAAATTTTGCCAATTAAATTAAATTATTGTTGAAATATTTATATGCATTGTATTAAAATAATAACAGCTGTACAGAATGTGTAAAGAGAAGAAAGGATAACCAAATTAAAACAAAAGTGTAATCAAATAAAACTTAAAAAAAAAATTAATCAAAATATGTTAATAAGCAGTAAGAACTAAAGAGCTGCCAGATCGTTTTGCGTATAAATAAAATAAGCATTTGCCAAATTGTTATTCCACAAGTGGTTGATGATTAGTCACATGCTCGCCGGTCAACCGGCTGCCAACGACGGCCGCACGCAGCGTTCTACGCAAGAAACTCTCCTTACGCCTAGGCGTAGCCTTTTTCGCTATAGCTTTCACATTTTTCTCTGTAGACTTTTGCCGTGGAACGCCATGCCCACCGCCACCGCCGCTGCCGCTGCCACTGCCACTACTTTTTCCACTACTACCACTAGCGTTCGAAACGGCATCATCGCTTGCTCGGCGCGGCGGCGTCGAAGGCGATAAGCTATAATTACTTTTATTTAACGGCATCGTTAGTGGCGATATGGGTGGCGACAATATCTCGCATGGCTCTAAGAGATCCTGTTCGGGTGAGAATAAGGACACCGCTGTCGCCTTTTTGGGACGTTGTCGCGAAGTGGGCGCTGTTGCCCGACCGATAACCGATTGTGCGCGCGACACGGTTGCCGCCGCACTGTTCGGCGAAATCGTGTGGTAGGCTTTGGAGGTGGCGGCGTATTTTTTGCTGCGTACAGTGCCACCGCTGGCACCCTTCAAAAGCGTGCGCGCCCAGTTGTTATTGTTAGGCTCAAATGCATGCGCATAAAAATCACTGTAGTACTCACTGCTGAAGGTTGACGCCGAAACGCTGGTGCTTTGTTTGCTATAATCCAATGGTTTATTGCCACTCCAGTCTACCAGATCACGATTGGCTTCTGAGGGGGGCGAAAAAAAAAAAAACGTGAAATTAATTTGATAATTTAAATGAAATCAGATGCAGTGGTGATAAGAAA